AAAACAGAAGAAAGCTACTACAGACACAGTGTATAGCTCAGGCAATCTGTGGAATTCAGAAGACGCCCAGGAGTTAATGTGTTAGAATAAGTAATGCTTCACCCCATCATTCCTCTTGAAGGCCTGTCCTCTTCTAGAAGAAGGATGTAACAGTAGCATACAATGATTTCTCTGTCGTGGATTTGTAAAAGGATCTGTGATTCTAGACAATGGATTGAATGTGGATGACATCAAAACAATGAGAACTGTTCCTTACACTCTTCCTAGTCAACCTGTATGATTATAGGGTATCTGAAAATTAATCGGATCAAAATAAACTTTATATTAGAATGACAGAGGAAGGGAGAAAAAATAGAATATGAATGAAATAAACGTGTCCAATCAACAGACTGGCATCAGCATCAATCGTCTTTCATTCTATATAATGTTTTTATGAAACAACCAAAATTGTAGTGTTTCACCCAGCAGGGTTGGCATCTGTGCCAAAAGCATGAGAAAAACAAAGCCCTGAACTGAGGTAACTCTCTCATTAAATTGACATTCTATCTGCAATCCTGCCTCTTAGATTACAAATCATAATAAAGGCTAAAATAAGGACACATATGTGATTTAAATACAACAGCATTATTTGCAGTCATGACAATCTCCACAGTGAGTTTGGTGCTAGACCCAGCCATCCGAGGTTGCCTATGAAAGAGATTTATTTATCTCAAATTTTATTTTCTCTAAACTGAGCCTGGCTTTGCTGACCAACAAAATTTTCTGAAGGGCCCCAAATGCCACCTGAATTTCAGTTCTATAAATTCAACAGATTTTTCTCCGTTTTCCAGGCTGGGATTTCATAGTGATGACAATTTCATTTTATCATGAATTTGAGTGTAAATCACTCAAAATAATTGAATAGTTCAGCACAACAGAAGAAGCCATTTCACTAAAGAAAGTATAGCAACAAAGTATGAGAATACTGCAGCCATAACATCGGGGTTTTTTTCCGTTTTCTAAAACCTCCCACACCCACTTCTTTAGCATATAATCAGTGTTACCACCTGATACAGTTCGTCAAATGATATTCAGGAATTTAAATCTTCTGGAAGTTGTCATAGCAAAAAGATGAGTATAATTTGGGTAGAAGGCATTGAGTGTGGCTTCTATTGAGCACTGATGCATGAAATAAAATGGTTTTAATTTAGATCAACTCTAAAGTACTATAAATTAATAGGTGATTTACCTAGAGGAAATTTTAATCAGATATAATCTGAAGTTACTCAAGAAATATTTAACAGGTGCCATAATAGCTGCATCAAAAATATCACGGCAACAGTTATGTGGCTTTCTGTTTATGGCAATGACAAAACTGGACTTAGGAAATTTTTTGAGCAGCCAACAGTATTAATCCATTACTTGAAACAGCAGGTCCAGAGCAGTGGTGGTTTTACCAATTTAGTCTGATATAAAATGCTTGTCTTTCTAGCATGCTGAGAGAATGAGTTGTTTTGTATAATTGACATTTTTCAGAAAGACAAACAGTATCCTGACTCCTTTTAATTTCTGTTGGAATTTTTTTTCGCAAATATGTTTCACACATTTCCAGCTGCTTAAACTGAGGGTCCTAAATCATAATTTAACGTTTATTTGATTTTTTCCCAGACAAGAATTAGGAAAAATAATTTCTAAAGATTTTCATGGCTTTTTGGTTCCTACACTGAATGCCCCCCCCCACACACAAACACACATTTTGTAATTTTAAATAAATATTTTTAAAATGTTATTTCCTCATATCAAGTTATCCACTGTTACTTTTCACTAGTCTCAAGGAATCAGACACTAAATCATCTTCTTCCTGCTTAATGCATATCGTTTCAAGATGTCATGAGAATTATTTCTATTCAGCTTAGCTAAGATATTATGTGAGAACTGTTGGGGGCAAGTTTATTTAATAATTATGTGTTGCTCTAGTTAACATTAAAGGCAGTTCACATTATTGAACATAGCTTCAAAAGTTAGAATTTGTCATCAAAACTTAGTAAATTTGAATTAAAAATTTGCTATGTTAAATCCAAACTTACCAAAAAATCCACATCTGAAAAATCCATTTTTATTTCATTGCTGCTTTTAAAAAGATTTAATCAAATATCAGTGTTGTGGACTGAATTGTATTCCCCCAAATTCATGTGTTGAAGCCCTTACCCCACTGTGACTATATTTAGAGACAGGGTCTTTATGGAGGGAATTCAAGTTCAATGAGGTCATAAATCTGGGCCCCTAATCTGACAGGACTGATGTCCGTAGAAGAAGAGACGGCAGATGTCTCTCTTTCTCTCCTAGCACACACACAAGGAAAGCCATGGAAAGACACAACAAGAAGCTGGGAAGAAAAGTCTCGCCAGAAACCAATCCTTGCTGGCACCTTGGTCTTTGACTTCTAGCCTCCAGCACTGTGAGAAAATAAATCACTGTTGCTTAAGCAACCCAGCCTGCGGCAGATCGTTTCGGCAATCCGAGCTAATTTATACAACCAAGGATGCACTCTTTCTCCCAATTGCTGATTTGCTCCTCTGTGATATCAGCAAACCAACGAGTTACCAAGTAGGATAAAATCAATAGTGCCATGCAAAATGGTCAGGGAACCTTCGGACAGGAGAATATAAAAATTGCTCTGGATTCTTTCCCTGTAAAATATTTCCCATTATGGGATATTGAAATGCATCTTTGTATCAAAAGGTCTGAGATTCTATAGTACAATGAAACCCACTCAACGGTTTCAGTTTATTTTTCTAAATGTGTTTTTCTATTTTGAACCACAGTTCTAGTTTGTGGTTGCGAAGAAAAATGTGGGCGGTGTCTTGGGAAGAAGACCTGATTGTTGCCAAAAGTAAGGGCCTCCTTTGCTTCAGAGCTTCACAGCAACAGCTTGGAGCGGAGTCCCCAACCTCTGCTGGGAGTTTTCTCAGTCCCCACCACACGAAAGCCATATGGTCCCTGGATGGACTCCTGCCGTGCTCCATGGCAGGACTGCGAAAGACTGCATAAAATGGAGGAAACAAAAGCAAAATATTCGTCTAAGGTCTCTCTGCATTTGTTTTTTTCTTTCCACTGGCATGCAGGAAAGAATTAAATCACAACAGTCATGATGTCCTAAAGAATGCAAGATGCTGTTCCAAGATGAAGACAAAAAGGTGCACAGAAAGTCACCCCTGTATTCCCTGCAGAGCTACGAAACAAACACTCTACCAATTTGAAGACCAGAAATAGGTATTAGATATCTTCTGGTATAACCTTCTTTTAGGGACAAGTAAACTGAAAAGTTAAAATCCAAAATGACTTATTCCAGTTGCCTTGCTGTCCTTGAGTAGGGTCAGGATCAAATTTAGCCTCAGATTTCCAGTCAAACTCTTCTAATGGAAGAATTTTAGACCTCTGAGCTCTCACAAGAAAGTCAGAAGGCTTGTTTGCATATCCTCAGGAACAAGCCGAAGGTCTCATACTTCCTCCCATTAGTTACCCGGGTCCACCTTCCACCCTCTCTTCTCCATCCTGCCCTCCATTTCCAGTCCTTGCTGCTGCCCTCATCCTGGTCTTGGGAACTACTTCAGATTTCACCTTCAGCTCCCTGTAATGAGAGGTTAATAATGGATTATCCACCCGCTTTTGTGTCTTTCCGCAATGCCAGAAGTTATTATGGTAAATTCAAGGATCTCCCGGCAAGCAACTGAGTTCTGGAAACGGTAAAAACAGCCAGGTGTTCCTTTACAGTGACTGAATCAAATGTCACACATTAAATTATATGAGTATCGTTAAAATATATTAATTAACAGCAAACACAGCATCCAATATGCAAGGGCTTACCAACCAAAATCCACAAAGTCCTTGGCACGGTCCAGTGAGTCTGGAACGGGAGATTGGTCCAGCATAGGAATCAGCAAGGCTACTAGCTGTGTGTTGTCCTCTCCCTGGGATGGCTCACTGGCATCAGCATTCCTTCCTCTCTCCCTTTTATGATGTTTCCACATCTTATCCAGGTCTGCAGTTGTGCTGTGTTGTTATCTCTGGCTGTGTCTTTGTGCCCTCTGGTTATCTCCGGATGTTTCTGTGGGTGTTCCTTTAAGGCATTGTCATTTACACCCATAACTCCATTTTCTTGTGCCTTTCATGAGTCCTTAGCATGAATGCTTCCATTTTGTATGCTCTCTATACTCCCTCACTGCAATTTCTTAATCAGCTGTTATTATTTGTCAGGACTCCTCTCATGGTAAATAGAGACACCAATAGCAACTGGTTACTTGACTATAAAGTAAAGCCATGCATCACAGACCCATGGGCGCGGATGTTGATGGGTTTCAGGAAGAGCCTTCAGTTGGAACTGAGAAGTGAATCTCGCTCATTTTTTGTCTCTCATCTGTGTTTCTATATACTCCGTTTATTTGTAGATTGGAAAAGGTAAAATCAGTCAGAAATGATAAGTTTTTAATTTTAAGGAGAAAAGACTCATTTGAGCAATCTTAATAAAAGTTTTATTAAAAACATAAATGTGACAGAGAGACTGAACTACAATGGATATTTCTCTAGATTTCTAAGGAGTAATGTCACTTATTGAAAGCTGCATTATAGCAAATATGTGGGAGTAAGTTGAAGACGGGATTATAAGACCCCGGGAGTAAACAAAAAGTACTTTTAGCAGTTTAAACAAGAGGCAAAGATGGTTATCAGAGGGTAGTAGCTATGAAAAGCTGGGTAAGTGGTGACTTAAACAGGTCCCCTTCTTTAAGGGGAAATCTGGCCTGATCACTGGTCTCATGGCAGGTTGGTAGTGGTTCCAAATGAGCAAAAGTGAAGCCATCTTGTTACGCTAAATGGCTTTAGCCCTTTCTCTGTTTGACTACTCGCTGCTCTGCACACACTCTAAAAAATTCACATGCTCTCCTGATTTATGGCCTCTGCTTATGTATGTACTCCCCAAGAGCTTGATAAATTAAAACTTTGTTCTGTTACTTTCTCTTCAGGAACAGGCTGACCAGAGGTAGGAAACACACCTAAAAGGTATCCATCATGACTAGCAGACGAATGGAACAATTGGAACAATGTGATGCCCGGAGCCCATCGCTCCTGGAGACCAACATCCCTGGATCCTCTCCTTACTGCCCATTTTCCCTATGTAACTGCCTCAAGATTCTGCAATTCTTGAAGATGGTTTTTGTTTTGAGACAAGACTCTACCATCTTCCCTATTATGCTGGTTAACTGAATTAAAACTTCCTTTCTCAATCCCTAACTCGTGATTAATTGGCTCAGATCGTGGCAGGCAGAGCAAGCCCATTGCTGGGTATCAATGGGGACAGAGAAGATTGTATGTGAATCACAATCTTTAAAACAAGAATCATCAAGAGATTTAAATATGATATATTTTAACCTAGGAATTTTCCACCTAGAAAAGTATCCTAAGGAAATACCCAGACAACATCCATCCCAAGGGAACGACCAGAAAAGAACGTACAGATTTTTATAGGCCTATTTATCAAAAAGGTGATAGTTCACATTAATGGTTTGTTACTAGGTAAGCCCTCATGGGGTGTGTGGGGGGCAGACATTATCAGAGCATTTTCCTACCTGGGAAAGGGACAGAAGGGCGTTTCTCAAACTCCAGCCCTCTCTAGATGGGAGTAGAGAAAAAAATCTAAGAAATGTTTAAAGTCACAATCTACCCCTTCTACCAAGAGTATCAACTAACTTTACTTCTAATTAGCATATAGTATGTCCTCTTTTGTTTCCGGCTTCTTTTATTGGTGTTAAGTTTGTGAGATTTATTCTATTCATATTGTGCATATTCATATTATCATTCTGTTTCATGGTTAATCTTTCATTCTCATTGCTGAAAAGTGTTATATTGTGTGAACTAAAAAAAAAATCATTCTATTCTCAATGGGCATGTGGGTAGATTCCAGTTTGAGGTTATTAAGAATTGTTCCATTATGGACATTCTAGTTCATCCTTTTTCATAAACATATGCCACATTTCTGTTGCATATATACCAAGAACTGGAATTGAAGGATCACAGAATATGGAATTATTCAGTTTTAGTGGAAACTACTAAATAGCTTTCCAAAGTGATGTTAGCCCCACTGGCAATTATGAGAGTTGTAATTTTCTTTGCATACTTGCCAAGCCTGGGTATTTACTGTTTTTCTCATTTTAGGTATCTGGTGATTGGATATAGAATCATATTTTTTTGACCGTTGAAGTTGAGCACCTTTCTTATGTTTATTGGTCATTTGGCAAACCTTTGTTAAGTGTATGTCCAAGATATGTGCTCATTGTTGCTTTTCCATTGGGTTGCCTGTCTCTTTCTTGTTGATACGGGAGGCTTGCTTTTACGGATATACATCCTATATATGAGCTCATTGATGGATATATATATAGAGAGAGAGATAAATATATAATTATAAATAGTAAACATCTTCTTCCCCTCTGGGGCTTGATTTTCACTCTTCTAATGGTAACATTTGATGAAAGAAGTTTTTAACTTTGAGAGTTTTTAATTTTTAATTTAAGATAAAATTTAGCAATTTTAACTTTTGCTAAAAGATATTTTCTTGCCTATTCCAAGATCACAAAGGTGTATTCTAAATTTTCCTCCAAAAATTTCATTATTTTATTTTTTATGTTTAGACAAGTAATCTATCTGGAATTGATTTTGTGTATAGTATGAGATAGGTGTTCAGACTCTTTTTTTGAATGGATATTAACTGACTCAGCACCATATGTGGTACAATTCATAAAAATTTAGTACAATATATTATTCTAAAATGTAGACTTTGTTGTATTTAGGGGATGAAATAACGTATAGATCTGTTTCTGTATTCTCCAGTTGTTCCTATTAGTGAATTCATCTATCCTTAATGCCAATAATGCCTTAATGCCAATAACACCAATAGCACACTGCTTTAATAAACTTAGTTTTACAATAATGTATAGGAAAGGTTCACTGTTTTCCCTTACATCCTCAGACAGAACACCTCTGTGACCAGATGTATGGGTTTCTTCCCACACTGATCCATTCTCCAACATCAGCTGGGTGTCCTACAGTTCAATTCAATTCTGAGTCTAACCAGAGTTAGTGCAGACCCCACAGGTTAATCGCTCAGTCCCAGAAGACTGCCCTCTCTTTCAGATGCCAATTGCAAGTAGTGGGTCCCAGGTGACCCACAATTTCTGTCCTACTTGGCTACAAATGGTAGGTTCCCACAAACCCCACTCCTCGGGTTCAACGATTTGCTAAAGCAGCTCACAGAACCCAGAAAACAGTTTATTTATTACTGCTGATTTATTATAAAGGATATTTTAAAGGACACAAAAGAACAGTCAGATGAAGTAGTACATAGGGTGAGTTCTGGAAGTGTCCTGAGGACAGGATCTTCTGTCCCTGTGTAGCTGGAGTGTGCCACTCTCCTTGCATGTAGCTGTGATCAAGAACCCAGAAGGTCCCTAAATGCCGTGCTTTTGGGATTCTTATGGAGGCTTTATCACTTAGGGAAGATCGATTATTAACTCACTTTCCAGCCCCTCTCCCCTCTCTAGAGAATCGGGGTGAGGCTGAAAGTACCAAGATTCTAATTATGCTAGAGCTTTCCAGTGACCAGCCAGCATCGGGGAGCCTCCCAAGAGTCACCTCATTAGAACCAAAGATGCTCCTATCACAGAGGAAATTCCAAGGGATTTAGGAGCTCTATGCAAGAAACCAGAGTCAAAGACCAGGGGCATATTTATATACATATATAAATACGTATACATACACACACATATATGATTATATATATTTATATATATAATTTAAATTTTATAGATAATGTAAATTATAATACATATTATTATATAGTATATATGTATATTACTTTATAAATAAATGTAAACATATATTTATATATTATAATTATGTATATATAATTACTATTTCATAAATAGCTTTTGAGATCTGTTAGTATAGATCTTTCAACTTTGCTCTCCTTCAAGTTTGCCCTAACTATTCTTGGTTCTTTGCATTTCTAAAACTTAAAATTCATCTTGTTAATTTCTATAAAATTTCCTGCTGGAATACTTTATTAAGATTGCATTTAATGGGGCCAGTCCCATAGCCTAGTGATTAAGTTTGTGCACTCTGCTTTGGCGCCCTTGGTTTGGTTCCCAGGTGCGGACCTACACCACTTGTTGGCAGCCATGCTGAGGAGGTGACCTACGTGCAAAACAGAGGAAGACTGGCACAGATGTTAGCTCAGGGTGAAAGTTCCTCAGCCAAAAAATAAAAATAAAAATATTGCATTTAATTAATAGCGTAATTTAGGTAAAATTAGCATCCTCACAATATTGTGGATTGAATCCATGAAAATGGTACATCTCTCTATTTATCAATGCTGTTTAATTCCTTTCAACAATATTTTACAGTTTTTTGTTTAGGGGTATTTCAGAACTTGTATTAAATTTATTAGTAGGAATTGAATGTTTTTATGGAAGATTAATTTCATTTTCTAAATATTTGGTGCTGTTATATAGAACCATATTTCAGTTTTTATATTGTTCTGTATGCAGCAAACTTGCTAATTCATTCATTAATTCTAAAAGTTTATAGATTCCTTTGGGTTATCTATCTGCATAATCATGTTATCTGTAAACAATGATACTTACAACTTTACCCATACCGTGATTCTGTTTATCTTCTTTGGCTTATGAAACATGAATAGAAGTGATGATAATGGGCATTCATGTACTTTTCCCAATTTCAGGGGAAAAGATGTCACTATTTCACCATTGTGCACAATGTGTGCCATAAGTGTTTTGGAACTATTCCTTTTCAGATTGTTTCAAATTTCAGAAAATCTCTTCTATTTTTAATTTTCTAAGTGTTTTTTTAAAATCATAAATAGGTGTTAAATATTGTGAAAAATGCCTTTTTTGCTTTTTGCACATCTATTAAAATTATCTACTTAGGTTTCCTCTCTTTTCCACTAATGTGAATTTTAATTACCTCAATATATTATTTTTAGTATATAGCTACATTTTTGCATTTAAGTTCCTGAGAAAAAAATGGCCAAAATAATATACCTTTTTTTCTTGAATGACATTTGTCAAAAATTTGGAGTGAAAATTGTGTTAGCCATATACAAAATTAGGAATCAATCCTTGTTTTTTCTATTCTAGGAATACGTTTGGGTAAGACTGAGGTTATTGGAAAAATTCCCTGGAAAAGTCATTTAGTCCTGAATTTTCATTGTGGAGGATCTCAAATTATGGATTCAATTTTTAAAAAGTACTAAAGTCGTCTGATTTTATATTTATTTGTCTCTCACCCTTGTAGTATTCAGTGAAATTTTCTATTTCATCCAAATTATAAAATTTAGTATTTTAAAGTTGGTCATGCTATAGTCTTACCATTTGATATTGGAATTATTTGTATCTTTTTCATGCCTAATGCTAACTAGTATCATTTAAATTTTTTTCTTGAATATTCTCCCTAGTGGTTTATCAATTTTATTGGTATTTTCAAAGAACAAACTTTTAGTGCTGTTTATATTCTCTATGTTATTTATATTTATTTCATTTATTTCTCCTCTTATCTTTGGTATTTATTTTCTTGTACATCCTTTGGATTTGATTTGACTTTCTTCACAAATTCTGTGATGAATGCTTAAGCCACTAATTTTTAGTCTTTACTTTTTTTCTAATATATAAAATTAAGCCTATAAATTTCTCTCAAAACATTGTTTAACTGTATTCCAAGTTTTTAAACAGAGCTTCATTAATTTTGCATTTGAAATATTTTCCCATTTGCATTTGAGTTCTTCTTTGACCCTGGAATAGTTAGAAGTATGTTGCCTAAGATTTTGGAGTTTGGGATTTTTCTAGTTATCTTCTCTTTTTTTTTTGCATAAAACATTTTTTAAAATAAAAGAAATTCTAAGCTTAATCCCTTTGTGGTTAGAGAACAAACTCTGAATAATTTCATTCTTTTGAAATTTGTTGAGTCTATCTCTATGGCTCCCAATCCTTTCTACAGAGAGCAGTTCAGATATTTATACCTGGGGACTAAAAATCTGCCATTTCGTATTAGAAGGGAAGAGGGAGGTAATAGAAGGGTGGAATCCTAGCTGCCCCACTTATTCCTGATGGACTTCTTTAATTAATTACACTAATAATTGCCCTGTGTCCCACCTGTCCTTTGTGCAATTAGCTCAGATTTCAATACCTCCAGGGTTCCC